AGGGTAGAGGGATGATTAGTATTGGGGTTACAGAAAGGATTAGTGTTGAGGTTAGAGGGATGATTTGTGTTGGGGGTACAGGGAGGATTAGTGCTGGGGTAGAGGGTTGATTAGTGTTGGGGTTACAGAAAGGATTAGTGTTGGGTGTAGAGGGAGGGTTAGTGTTAGGGTAACAAGTAGGGATACTGTGGGGGTCAGTGTTACAGTAAATTGAAGGGCTAGTATTGGGGCTATAAGGGAGGATTCGTGCTGTGGTTACAGGAAGGGTTAATGTTGAGGTTACAGGTCGAGTTAGTGTTGGAGGAATGGTTAGTGTTAGGGCTACAGGGAGGATTAGTGCTAAGGTTAGAGGGGAGGATTGGTGTTAGAGTTACAAGGAGGGTTGGTTTTGGGGTTACAAAACTGGTTAGTTTTAGGGTTACAGTGAGGGTTGGTGTTGGGGTTACAGGGATGGTTGGTGTTGGGGTTACAGGGAGGCTTGGTGTTGGGTTACAGGAGGGTTGGTGTTGGGGTTACAGGGAGGGTTGGTGTTGGGGTTACAGGGAGGGTTGGTGTTGGGGTTATAGGAAGGCTTGGTGTTGGAGTTACAGGGAGGGTTGGTGTTGGGTTTATAGGAAGGCTTGGTGTTGGGTTACAGAGAGGGTTGGTGTTGGGGTTACAGAGAGGGTTGGTGTTGGGGTTACAGAGAGGGTTGGTGTGGGGTTACAGGAGGGTTGGTGTTGGGTTTACAGGGAGGGTTGGTGTTGGGTTTACAGGGAGGGTTGGTGTTGGGGTTACAGGAAGGCTTGGTGTTGGGGTTACAGGAAGGGTTGGTGTTGGGGTTACAGAGAGGGTTGGTGTTGGGGTTACAGGGAGGGTTAGTGTTGGGGTTACAGGAAGGGTTAGTGTTGGGGTTACAGGAAGGCTTGGTGTTGGGGTTACAGGGAGGGTTGGTGTTGGGGTTACAGGGAGGGTTGGTGTTGGGGTTACAGAGAGGGTTGGTGTTGGGGTTACAGGGAGGGTTGGTGTTGGGGTTACAGGGAGGGTTGGTGTTGGGGTTACAGGAAGGCTTGGTGTTGGGGTTACAGGGAGGGTTGGTGTTAGGATTATAGGAAGGCTTGGTGTTGGAGTTACAGGGAGGGTTGGTGTTGGGGTTACAGGAAGCAATGCTGTTGGGGTTATAGGAAGGCTTGGTGTTGGAGTTACAGGGAAGGTTGGTTGGTTGGTGGTTTGGGTTACAGGAAGGGTTGGTGGTAGGGTTATAGGAAGGCTTGGTGTTGGGGTTACAGGAAGGCTTGGTGTTGGGGTTACAGGGAGGGTTGGTGTTGGGGTTACAGGAAGGGTTGGTGTTGGGGTTATAGGAAGGCTTGGTGTTGGGGTTACAGAGAGGGTTGGTGTTGGGGTTACAGGGAGGGTTGGTGTTGGGGTTACAGGGAGGGTTGGTGTTGGGGTTATAGGAAGGCTTGGTGTTGGGGTTACAGAGAGGGTTGGTGTTGGGGTTGCGGATAAGAGAATGAGGGTCAATCTTACTGAATTGTGCCTAGGAGCTCTTCAGTTCTCTAGCTTCTACCACGTCAGTTTTTAGAGGGCTGATTCTTTCATTTCCTGGAGTCAATCTGAACCTTCCTTCTATGTAACGCATCACAGATAATTTATGATGACACTCTATTTGATGTATAATAGAATTTCTCCTGTTGCAGATCCATCAGCTGTTTATGGACTCACACATATAAAATTCAGAAGTGTCCGGTAGTTTCCCTTTAGAGGCTCTCAGAGGTCATGGAACACTCCCAGAATTCCTGCACTGCGGGGAGGAAAAATCTTATCCAGCTCCTGCTCTCGATGACTCCGGTGTTCTATGTATAGCACAGATTAGAGGACACGGTCTGCCGGGGTACGGAGGCTGTATCCCCTACAATATAATGTATTCTGATGGGTTTTATCTGGCTGCATTAAAAAAGAAGTATGGCTTGAAGTCCCTTCATCATTCTCGTCATTTTCTTTTTGCCCCTTTGCTGTGGCTTTTATCCCTCCTTCCTTTCTCTGGGGTATTCCCCCCATTCCCCCTTTTTTTTTCTTCTTTTCCTCCTCCTCTTTCTTCCTTCTCCTTCTTTCCTTTTTCTTTTTGTTTTCTGTTTTGGATGCGGTTAGTGTTTGCTCATGGTTAGTAGACTGGTCGGTTTGCAATGACTCTCGGCCCAGTGTAGTACACTATGCTCTTTTTGGGGATGGCAATTGGATTTTATACGTATCTGGACTGAACCTGGTTCGTTGTCTTTTATGGCGGCATCTACCTACTTGCCTTATTGTTGTATGTTTGTTCTGTGAAAAAGCTTTATAAATAAAGAATGTTAAAAAAAAGAGAAGTATGGACTTATAGTTTCTTCCCCAATTATACTTACTTAGGTGAATGCTGCATCTGTCCCCCACCGGCTCTAAGTGTGAAAACTCAGCGAGCACATGACCACTGATCACCGAGTTCTCACCGCCGCTCTAAGCAGAGAGCGGTAACTGTCAGTCACCGCTCTCTGCTCTGCTCCCCCTGGAGCTCACTGGAGCACTGGGATATGAAGGGGAAGGGAGCGGCTGGCTCAGGCTCTCAGTAGATCGCTGAGGTGCCGAGCCAGATGCCGCTCCAGACTCTGGGAGTCAGGATCTTTCCCCAGCCTTGCCCGCTGTTGTCTGAAAATAGGTTACAGGAGTGCAAAACTCCGAATGCAGGATTTTTGGTGCACTTTCAGGAAGTGCACTACACCTGCAAGATATAACAGAAGTCTATGGCACGGGCGGACTGACCATTTGGAAACTCGGGCACTGCCCGAGGGCCCGGGGTCAGTAGGGGGCCCCATGAGATGCCCTTGGTACCTTTTTCATAGGCTTTTTTGAGTTTGGTCAAGGACACAGGGGCCCCATGAACCCCTATTGCTTGGGGGCCCCATGAGTTGTCAGTCCGCCCCTGCTATGCTAAGGGCAGGTAACCCACAGGAAAGCTGCAGGTGCACTGCGCTGCACCCAAGTTGCGGGTAAACTGCAGAGCATCAGTGTAAAAACAGCTTTATAGAAGGCTCAGGACAATAAGGGCTTGTTTACAGTTGAGGTTTGGGGGCAGTAAAATCCAAAGGCGAGATTTTTATTTACCACATCCCCTCCCCCAACCACTAGTGTAGCACCAGGGGTCGCAATGGCGACCTTGCCCCATGCTTCAGCGGGCACATGCAGCCTCCCTTTCACATTCTGTTTTGCACTTGGACAGCAGTGGCATATACAGGAACCGATCCTCCATTTTCCTCCTGAAACCACTGAAAGCTGGCTTCTTCTCCTTTCAGCCTCCATTCAGGAAGAAAATGTTCATTATGCTATTCAATATATAAAAAAAAATCAAAATTCTGAACCACTTCATTTCATTGTGGCCCACGACTGATTACCATATCACTTAAAGCGGAGCTCCACCCAAAAGGGGAAGTTCCGCTTTAAGGCCTGCTCCCCCGCTCCCCATTAAGGATTGGCACCTTTGGGGGGTGGGGGGGAGCGGGTACCTGAATTTGTCAGGTACCCGCTCCCACTTCCGGTCCGATCACCTAGGCAATCAGAAGTGGAAGGTGTCCTCCCTCCCTCCCTGTAGTCTTTTGGGACACGTGACAGGTCCCAGAAGACTACAGGACCATTCATGAAGCGCAGCACTACTCGCGCATGCACAGTGGGTACCCGGCTGTGAAGCCGCAAGCTGTCACAGCCGGGTGCCCACACTGAAGATGCCAGCCTCCTGGAATACAGGACGGCCGGTGAAACGGGCTGCGGGGGGGACATATCGCGGGAACGAGGGACAGGTAAGTGGCTGTTTTTTAAAAGTCAGCAGCTACAGTTTTTGTAGCTGTTGACTTTTATTTTTTGACAGGTGAGTGGAACTCCGCTTTAAGTGGAACTCGCTCTCAAAAGGTTGAGCACCCCCCGATTTAAAGTGATTCTATGCTTTGCCCACATAGGGCTCATTGTAATGGCCGCCTCCAAAGCAAAAGATACTCAATTCTTCTACACTCCCACGCTGCCCTGTTCAGTTGCCAGGAGCAGAAGAAGCTGCCCTGTGGGAGCTATGAATTGCTCAAGTCATAACTTGCTCAGGGCTATGGACTTGGCAACTGGCCCAGCATTGGCACGGAGTGACTCATACGCTCCTCCATACTCAGAAAAACAGGACTTTTTTTCCACCCACAGCACCTGAACCAGACAGCAGGTGAGCAAAGAAGAGGAAGGAATTGGATTAAAGAGAAACAAACAAATTGCCAGCTCACTATGCAGCCAGCCTGCAACAACCCAAATTCAAACAAGGGGCTTCGTTTGCAAATGTGTGCAAACGAAACCCCTTGTTTTAACGTGAACTGTTCATTCGGGTTGTTGCAGGCTGGCTGGTAAGTGAGCTGGAATTTTTGTTTGTTTTTTGACATGCGTTGTCCTTCCATGTGCTCCTTGTTTGCAAAGCCTAGTTATAGGTTGGGGTAGTTGCCATTTGTTTGTATATTAGATTAAAGAGAACCTGTTGCTTTTGCCCTACATAGGCAAAGTAAACGTTTGCTTTAAAGAAATGAAAGCTCCTACAATACAAATGGCAGAGAGAGGCCCATTAGGCAACTTCTGTAACCTGTAACACACCTGAGAAAATTCCACAACCTTCAGTAAAACCATATGACAAACAGTCAGTGTTGTACAGATGGATGAACGTATATGCAAATCCTGACTTTTCCAGTAAAAGTCATACTTGGCCCTTCCCCCTTCTGCATATCCCTTTTGGTCCTTTAATATGATAAGTGTCTTTACTGACCAACTCTAAACCTTGGGAGGTGGCAGAAACAAGCTCCTCTTCACCTTCTTGTGTCTCAGTACTGACTGATCGTTGTACATGTGGTTTTTATCTTTGCTTAAGTATTTCCTTGTCCTAGGCTTGGTTTCCAGACTTAACACATTTAATTGCAGATGGAGACTTTGGTGATCAATCAATAATCGGCAAGTCAGGCATCTGTACTCACCAGCCTCATTTACTACGGGGAGGGCAGACACTCTTCTCTCTACAAAGATCTCCAGAGCGTTGTATATACTGGATGATTCGTGTATGACGGCTACGTCCCTGAAGGTCCCGATGCCCAGCTCCAAGATGGTCTTCTGCAGGAAGCGAGGTCGGGGAATGGTGCCCCCCTGTCATTGGGACAACAAAGAGTCCAAGTAAGACATTTTCACAATGAGCTCCCAGAACACCACATTATACCTACAAACCTTGAGGAACTCTAACCTAATGTGTATCTAAACTGGCCATTCCCAATCTGGGTTCTGTTGAACCCTAGGGTTCCTCCAAAGGTTGCCTGGGGTTCCTTGGGCTGTGGCTAATTGACCTATGGTGCCCTCATAGTTCCAGGGCCACTACCTGGCAGAGTTAGCTGCATAAAACCAATAATCTTTTAAGCTGTCTATAGTTATCCATGTAAGGTGCAATTTCCACACTGACTTCCAATGAGCTGATTTTGGCAGGGTTTTCCCAAGGCCAGAAAATAATTTTTAAGGTTTCCTCTTGGGCAAAAAGCTTGAAAAAGGCTGATCTAAACATAAGAATGTAATATACTGCAGCTCGACTCTATGTGGGGTCCTCTTCTTCTTTTATGGTCCATCCTGTGGCAAATTCATTGAGAGATATATATATATATGATCCTTTGAGGGATCACTGCAGAGGTTGCCCATTACCACCTATACAACGACCCTTTTGTAATACACAGTAAGTATATAAGACCTCAGACGATTAGGGGTCATATTTGTTCTCAGGCCCCTTCTATTCTCCATCTACACCTCCTCCCTTGGCCAACTGATACACTCCCACGGCTTCAACTACCATCTCTATGCCAATGATACGCAAATCTATCTCTCTACCCTCGCCTCACCCCTTCAGTCTCCGCCCGAATCACTAGCCTACTGAACGACATATCAGATTGGATGTCACTCCACTTCCTAAAATTAAACCTTTCCAAAACCGAGCTCCTAGTTTTCCCCCCAGCCTGTGCCCCCCCCCCCCCCCCCGACTTCTCCATCACGACCAACAACGCCACCATCAGCCCCACCCCGCAAGCCAGGGTACTAGGTGTCATTCTAGACTCCAATCTGTCTTTCCAGCCCCAGGTCCAATCGCTGACAAATTCATATAGACTCCACCTCCGCAACATCTCCAAAATACATCCGTTCCTAACCCCAGGAAACCACTAAGCAACTCATTCACTCTTTATCATATCACGACTTGACTACTGTAACTCCCTCCTCATCGGCTTACCTCATCGCAGGCTATCCTCGCTTCAGTCTATCCTGAATCCTGCGGCCAGACTCATCCACCTTACAAACCGCTCCGTATCCACCGTACTAACCCCCCTCTGTCAATCCCTCCACTGGCTTCCGATTGCCCAACGCATAAAATTCAAATTACTAACATTGACGTACAAAGCTGTTCATAACACTGCCCCAAACTACATCACCGACTTGATATCCATCTACCACCCAAAACGTACTCTCCGCTCCTCACAAGACCTCCTACTCTCTAGTTCCCTGGTCTCCTCCTCCCATGCCTGTCTCCAGAACTTCTCCAGGGCTTCCCCCATCCTCTGGAACTCACTACCCCAATCCATCAGACTGTCACCTACCCTCCTCACCTTTATGCGCACCCTGAAAACCCATCTCTTCGGGGAAGCCTACCCCGCCCTCACCTAATTGCCGATCTCCTCCACTCCTCCCACCACTCCATCCCCCACAGCTATTTCCTCCTGTACCACTATCCCCTCCCTCCTAGATTGTAAGCTCCAAGGAGCAGGGCCCTCGAACCCCTCGTGTATCGCATTGTATTGTTACTGTACTGTCTCGTGTACTGTTTCTCATTGCAATGTACAGCGCTGAGCAAACTGTTGGCGCTATATAAATACTGTATAATAATAATATTTTAACCTGGGAAGTGGCTTGCATTGCACAGTAATGGCTGGAATAATCACTGCACTGGAGGAATTTATTCACAATTTCATGATGTGACATGGATATTCACTATATTAAAATCTGGTGTCATCATTTTTCACTAATATTATTTTCACTGGAAAAAATTGCACTATTTCAAAAGGTGCTTGGTTTGGTTTATGTGGTTGAATTATATTACTTAATGGGGAAGTACAGCATTTTTACAATGTAATAAAGTATTGCGCTACTCATATATAATCAAATGATCAGCGCATATAAAAGTGCAATAATCAAGTCATTAAATAATACATGTGTCCATGAACAGTTCATAATTCACGCAGCATTTTATATCTTGTATTTGGATATTTTTGCAAGCGGCTCCTCATATTTTGTATTTTATAGATGTGTGTTTATATTACAGGCTGGCAGCCTGCCAAGATTCTGCTCTCCATAGAAAATAAACATCTTGTGAATTTTGAAGATGAAATTCTCCACAGTGCCCATTGTCACAGAGGTGGATGAGGGCTTGCTTTAACCAGATCTATCTGACTTGCTGCATGTTCTAATGCCCCCCATACATGTATAGAATAGTTAGTTTTTGAAAAGATCGTTCGACATTCGTGCCGTTAGTGGACTCGATTTACAGCCGATTTCAAAAGTAGGCCCGGCTATTGTTGACAGATTGGAAGTGAAAACTTTCATTGTTTCAACCAAAGTGTATATGTTTATGTGTTAATCGAAACGAATAAGTCTAGTATTTCCCATGCCCTTTGATGAACCGGAAGAAGAATGTTTGAACTAATTTTATTCTATGTGTCTATTGTCAAGAGACGTTCGCACTGTAAATGGCCGATAGTCTATACGTGTATGGCCAGTCTACGAAGCTCACAGTGTGCGGTGAAAGCAGAGTAAGCCATTTCAGACCAGAAGAGGGAGGGAGGGGTGGGGCGGAAGGACGAAAGTAAGGAAGGGAGGGGTGGAAGGAAGGAAGGAAGGAAGGGGTGGGTGGATGGAAGTGAGGCATGGAATGAAAGGAGGGGTGGAAGGAAGGAAGGGTGGGGTGGGTGGAAGTAAGAGGAATTTTACTCTATGTGTTTAGTGGACAAGTCGTTGTCGAAAGATGAATAGTCGTTCGCGCTTTAAAAAACGGCTGATAGTCTATACGAATATACAGTTGCAAGAAAAAGTATGTGAACCCCTTGGGATTACGTGGAGTTTTGCATGAATTGGGCATAAAATGTGCTCTGAACGTCATCTAAGCCACAACAATAGAAGAACACAGTCTGCTGAACATAATACTACACAAACATTAGATGTTGCCATGGTTTAATTGCACATAACATGTAAACATTCACAGTGCAGAGAGGAAAAAGTACGTGAACCTTTGGACTTAATAACTGGTTGACCCTCCTTTGGCAGCAATAACCTCAACCAGACGTTTCCTGTAGTTGCAGATCAGACCTGCACAACGATCTGGAGTAATTTTGGACCACTCCTCTTCACAAAACTGTTTCAGTGTAGCAATATTCTTGGGATGTCTGGTGTGAATTGCTCTCTTAAGGTCATGCCACAGCATTTCAATCGGGTTGAGGTCAGGACTCTGACTGGGCCACTCCAGAAGGCGTATTCTGTGCTGTTGCAGCCATTGTTTTGTTGAATTACTTGTATGGTTTGGGTTATTGTCCTGTTGCATCACCCATCCTCTGCGGAGCTTCAGTTGGCGGACAGATGGTGGTACGTTTTGCTGCAAAATGTCTTGATAAACTCTGGAATTCATTTTCCCATCAATGACAACAATCCGTCCAGGCCCTGAGGCAGCAAAGCAGCCCCAAACCATGATGCTCCCTCCGCCATGTTTTTACAGTGGGGATGAGGTTTTGATGTTGGTGTGCTGTGCCTTTTTTTCTCCACACATTGTTGTGTGTTCTTCCCAAACAACTCAATCCTGGTTTCATCTGTCCACAGTATATTTTGCCAGTAGTGCTGTGGAACATCCAGGTGCTCTTTTGCAAACTTCAAACGTGCTGCAATATTCTTTTTGGACAGCAATGGCTTCCTCTGTGGTGTCCTCCCATGTACTCCATTCTTGTTTAATGTTTTCCTTATTGCAGATGGTCAACAAAAATGTTAGCATGTGCCAGAGATTTCTGTAGGTGTTTAGCTGACACTCTGGGATTCTTCTTTACCTCATGCAGCATTCTGCGCTGTGCTCTTGCAATTTTTACAGGACGACCACGCCTAGGGAGAGTAGCAACAGTGCTAAACTTTCTCCATTTGTAGACAGTCTGTCTTACCAGTGGACACATGAACATCAAGGCTTTTGGAGATACTTTTGTAACCCTTTCCAGCTTCATGCAAGTCAACAATTCTTGATCGTAGGTCTTCTGAGAGCTCTTTTCTGCGAGGCATGGTTCACATCAGACAGTGCTTCTTGAAACCAGTAAACCCAAAACAGGTGTGTGTGGGGGGAAGGGCAGGACAGCTGTCAGCAACACATCCAATATCATCACACTGATTGGAGTCAAGGTTGGCTCACTCCTGGCTCCAATTAGCTCTGGGAGAAGTCATTTTTAGGGCCTCACATACTTTTTCCTCCCTGCACTGTGAATGTTTACATGTTATGTGCAATTAAAACCATGGCAGCATCTAATGTTTGTGTAGTATTATGTTCAGCAGACTGTGTTCTTCTATTGTTGTGACTTAGATGACGTTCAGAGCACATATTTATGCCCAATTCATCCAAAAAACTCCACGTAATCCCAAGGGGTTCACATACTTTTTCTTGCAACTGTATGTCCAGCTCACAGTGTGCGGTGAAAGCAGAGTAAGCCATTTCAGACCAGAAGAGGGAGGGGTGGGTGGAAAGAAGGGAGGGAGGGGTGGAAGGAAGGAAGAGGGGGAGGGGTGGTTGGATGGTTGGGAGGAAGGAAGGGATGGAAGGAAGGAAAGGAGCGGTGGAAGGAAAGGAGGGGTGGAAGGAAGGGATGGGTGGGTGGAAGGAAGGAAGAAAGTAGGGAAGGGAGGGGGTGGAAGGAAGGAAGGGAGGGAGGGGGGGGTGGAAGGAAGGAAGGGGGGTGGGTGGAAAGGAAGGGAGGGAGGGGTGAAAGAAAGGAAGGAAGAGGAATTTTATTCTATGTGTTTAGTGGACAAGTTGTTGTCGAGAGATGAATAGTCGTTTGCACTGTAAACGGACAATAGTCTATACGTGTATGGCCAGCCTAAGAAGCTCACAGTGTGCGGTGAAAGCAGAGTAAGCCATTTCAGACCAGAAGAGGGAGGGGTGGAGGAAGGGAAGGGTGGAAGGGAGGGAGGAAGGGAGGGGTGGAAGGAAGGAAAAGGGGGAGGGTAAGCCATTTCAGACCAGAAGAGGAGCCGCTACAACTGGGCAAGATTGAAGGTCAGATTTAAATGATGCCAGTTTGCCTTCACGGGATACGGAGAATCTTCAACATTTCATTGCCTTACACTCACAAATATATGGAGGAACTTCAGCAGGCGCTTGTGTGTAAGGATGTGCAGGATGTTCCCGGATATGGGCTCCATGACCGGCAGCCGGTGGATCTTGTTCTTGATCAGGGAGTAGACGGCACGGAACAAGCTGGAAAAGACAGAAGGCGTGAAGAGAAACTCCAACCAACAAGAAGGACAGTAAATCAGAGAACTCCTAATGCCATACAAAGGGTGGTGAGGGCCAAACATCTGCTCACCTGACTTAAGGCTTCGTTCACACCAATGCGTTTTTTTAGAGCTTTTTGCAGAAACGCACTACAGTCCACATAACATGGTTTCCTATGGGACATGTTCACATCTGTGCTTTTTTGAGCCGCTGCGTTTTTGGACTTTTTTGAAAGCAAAAAGCAGCATTTTTGCGGCAATAGAGTTCAATGGAGAAGCTGCTGAAATGCACGGTAGTTCAATTTTGCTGCATTTAGCATTTGTATTTTGAACAGCAACCAAAAAAAAAAAAAAAAAAAAAAAGCTGAACAAAATGTGGTCAAAACACGTCAAAAACGCAAAACAAACTGCAAGAAGCACTGGAGAAAGCATCGAATTCAAAATGCATATATGTGAATCAAGCCTTAAAGCTGAACTCTTTGTTGGGGGTGCGGAGACATTCCTGCGGACTTTCTTCATGTTTTTTGGTCCTGTTCCCAACATGCAAGTATTTTGGGCTGATATCCTAAAGTTTATTTGCTCAGTAACCACAATTTCAGTCCCTCAAATGGTAGTCATTTGTCTCCTGGGTTTGGTCAATCATGTAGACTTTTCGAGGGCCTCTAGAACACTTTTGGGTCTGCTGTGCTATGCTAGGAAAGCCATTGTCCTGGAAATCGGATAGACCCCCTACTCTTGAGAACTGGAAGAAACTGGTCAACTTAGTGGTCCCAATATATAAATTGACGTACCTCTCCTGAAGTTGCCCCAAAAAGTTCCATAAGGTCTGGGATATTTGGATCGAATCTCCCACTACTACTAAAGCTAAAGATGATACTGTGCTTCACAAAGGTGAAGGATGAGTGATTAAGTTCTGTGAGGGGGAGCAGGGCTGCAGATAGTTTTTTTTTCTGGGGGGGGGGGGGGGGAGTTCAGCTCACAGCTGAGCTGCATTTTTACTGCTCCCCAGCCCCACACACACTAACGTCTCCCCCTTGAAGGAAGGGAGGGGTGGAATGAAGGAAGGGGTGGATGGAAGGAAGGAAGGGGTAGATGGAAAGAAGGGAGGGGTGGATGGAAGGAAGGGAGGGGTGGAAGGAGGGGATGGGTGAAGGAAGGGAGGGGTGAAGGAAGGGAGGGAGGAAGAGAGGGGAGGGGTGAAGGAAGGGTGGGGTGAAGGAAGGGAAGGGTGGGTGGAAGGAAGGAAAGAAGGAAGGGAGGGAGGGGTGGATGGAAAGGAGGGAGGGGTGGAAGGAAGTGAGGGGTGGAAGGAAGGAAGGGAGGGATGGGTGGAAGGAAGGAAGGAAGGAAGGGAAGGGAGGGAAGGGTGGATGGAAAGGAGGGAGGGGTGGAAGGAAGGGAGGGGTGGAAGGAAGGGAGGGAGGAAGAGAGGGGAGGGGTGAAGGAAGGGAGGGAGGGAGGGGGTCGTTGGGGTGAAGGAAGGGAAGGGTGGGTGGAAGGAAGGGAGGGGTGGATGGAAAGGAGAGATGGATGGAAAGGAGGGATGGATGGAAAGGAGCGATGGGTGGAAGGAAGGAAGGGGTGGATGGGAAGGAAGGGGTGGAAGGAAGGAAGGAAGGGAGGGAAGGAAGGGAAGGAAGGAAGGGAAGGAAGGAAGGAAGGAAGGAAGGAAGGAAGGAAGGAAGGAAGGAAGGAAGGAAGGGGTGGATGGAAAGGAAGGAGGGGTGAAAGGAAGGAGGGGTGGAAGGAAGGGAGGGGTGGAAGGAAGGGAGGGATGGAAGGAAAACCTTTATCCCAATAGGGAAATAAAATGTTGCTGTAACTAATTATAAAGTATGAGCTGGAGTTTGTCATCAATGTGTTAGCATATCTAGTTTATCTCTCCCCTCCCTCCTAGATTGTTAGCTCCCAGGATCAGGCCCCTCCTATCCCTCTTGTATTGAACTGTATTGTTGCTGTATTGTCTCCCACTATAATGTAAAGCGCTGAGCAAACTGTTGGTGTTATATAAATCTTGTATAATAATAATCTAGCACTCCCCTCCCCCCAGACTGACAGTGCTGCTGTCCAAAGGTGCTCCATCATCCAGAGTGGGGGCGCTCTAATACAGGAGGTGCGTTAAAGGCCGGGTGAACTGGAGGACAGATATGGGGTCTTTGTGCCCAAATCAGCATTGACTGCTTCAACGCCCCCTCCTGAGACTCAGTGCAGATGTTCATATAATCAGCTCAAAACAACCTGATGCTGAGGTCTCTTGTTGCAATCTGTCTATTAGGGTGGGATATGTTTACTGTTGTGTATTTGTTCCATTCTTAATTGAGTTAATTGGGTCACCTATTGTTTCTGTCTGTTGACTAGTCCTCCTGGAGGTTCCTACATGATGGGATTAGTCTGGTGTCAGCTTTACCTCGTTATCTGATCAGTGTGGGATGTTTGTCCCAATGTGTAATATTTGTTTTTATTGTTCATGGGGGGACTGCCCCTATTTCTGAAGTGTTTAAAAAAAAAAAAAACCCTGTATTTCTGTTCATTAAAGAGTTCCAGTTTTCACCCAAGCTAGTGTCGTTTAGCACTTGGGTGCGATGCTCAGCTATAATACCTTGGTCCTGTGTCCCAGCGGAGAGGAAGCAGTTCTCCGACAGAAGCACCCAGGCAAAGTACCAGGCGGTCCGTCACAATTGGTAAGCTGCAGTATATTATATTTTTGGTTTGGGATTTTGTACTGCTTTAAGCCCTGAAGAAGAGGAAGGCTTTCCTCTGAAGCACATTAGATATATTTGATGCTCTCACAAACATTTTATGCAAACCGCCAAAGTAGATGACCGTCCTTACTAGCACTCCTAACCTTACACCCAATACGTAAACTGATCAGTACAGACAAGGAGAGAAAATCTTCGTGATGGGGGCTACAAGACAATAAAAACTTGACAGGCATTCTAACCCCCTCCCTGCTATACCCAACACTAATAAAAGAAAAGTAAAGTAATAAATAAATAATAAAAGAAATGTTTTCTGATTTAGATACACTTTAAGCTGCAAATATCAAATACAAATCCTTGAGTCTGGTATGAAGGTTGGACCCGGAGTCGTACCTGTCTGAAGGAGAGATATAGATCAGCGGCTTGAAGGAACTCTGCAGGTAAACTTCTGCAAGAGAAACACAAAGCAGAGAATTTCTCTCCAATTCCAACAAATGGCAGAGAAATCACCAAGTACCCTGTATCAGCTTTACCTCTCCATGTCTCGATTTTATGCTCCTCCAGTTCATATATCTGAACCTAAAGACAAGGAAAACACCAGTTATAGGCCAGGGCGCGGGGCACACCCTGCCGATTTCACATTTCATTGAAACACGAAATCATAAATTATAATATAATAAATAATCATTAAAAATAATAATATAATAATAAATTTCATTCAATAATATAATAATCAAACCTAAAACACTGAAATGTGAAATATAGCGCCAAGTTCGCACATCGCTGAGCAAATTCGCAGAATCGTTTTCAGTGTCTGATGAGGAATTTCCCCCACGAATCATTATCACTCAATTCTGCAAGTGGTTCTGATTTACTATCGCTGTTCTCTAGCCGGTCTAAAACCGCTTTTGACCTAAAGGGACGCTTTTTGGACGCCATGGACGTTTCTCAGTTTCCAGGCAGAAAGAACAGTAAAAATGCAGGCAGGGTGCCGGACAAAGCACTCGGGACAAAATGTATGTGAAATGGTTTGATACAGGAATGTTATACTATGTGATTTTAGTGTATTTAGTGAATGTCACTTTTAAAATTTTTGAATTTCTCGCCAGTTCCGTCCCCCGTACGTCCCGACGTCGCAGGGAATGGAACCCGGAAGACAGATGCCGGCATCGGCTGGAGGACATTACCGGGGACACTGCAGGAGGGACATCGCGGGAGCGCAGGACAAGGTAAGTGCAAGAGAGATCCCGGAGCAACGCTGCAGTGTATTCCTGAATGTAGCTCGGGGTTACTGCTTTTGGTACTGAAAGTTAACCCCGAGCTACACTCAGGAATACCTCCAGAGGGGTTAAGGAAGAGGTATAGCCAAAGCTCTTTCAGCCATGTGGGTCACAGCAATGACCGTAGTTCTGCACTCCTGTGACCCAAATTTAGGCATCACTCTACCGGTCCAGGCTCCGCAGGGATCCCGAAACAGAGATAAAGGCTTGGTTCATATATGTGCGGGTGGTGCCGCTACGGATCCGCACAAAAATCCACCCACACAGAAGAATGCAGACCCGCGGGCGGGTGCCATTAATTCTAATAGCACGCCGCCCCCACTGGAAATCGCAACCGTACTGGGACCCGAGGTTCCTGTGCGGGCTGCGTTTTCTGAAGAAGTGCAGGGACTTCTTTCCCTGCGTGTCCCGAGGCACAAGAGTCCATTCAAATGAATGGGCTCTCATGCCCACGCACAACGCAGACCACATGAACGCGGAGATGTGAACCGGGGGTTAAGGTGCAATGAGATCAAATAGTCCTCGTGTGAAAGTCCAATGTTGTGTCATAATAGTCCATAAAATATAGTACTAGGGCAAGTTTATTCAAAGGCTGTAGCAGGCTCTGGAATGAAAGAGAACAGAAAAGTGCCTCCAAGTGTAGTATTAAAATAATTTATTAGAGCAGGAGAGCAAGGCCACTCACATAGTCATGGTGCTACATGGTGGTACAGTCATGGTGCTACATGGTGGTACAGTCATGGTGGTACATGGTGGTACAGTCATGGTGCTACATGGTGGTACAGTCATGGTGCTACATGGTGGTACAGTCATGGTGCTACATGGTGGTACAGTCATGGTGCTACATGGTGGTACAGTCATGGTGCTACATGGTGGTACAGTCATGGTGGTACATAGGCTCCTCTGTGTTAGGAGGTCCCAAGTCTCTAGGTGGATGCTGAATGTTGCTGCTGCAAACGCCGGAGGGAACCGAGGATGTAGGCTGGCCGTTCACTGTGTGCGTGTCAGAGGAGTGCACCATGGAGCGCAACGTCGGCAGCATGACCACAATGCAATACGATGCGTTTCAGATCATGCGTTGTGCTGTGGGTGGGCAATATATATAAGAGAGTTCCCATTGGCTTGTATTATTGCTCGAGAAAGGGGCACACCACGGGCACGGCATGGCGTATGCTCCAAAACGCGTCACATTGCATTGTGGTTTTGCTGAGGTCATCATGCCGACATTGCACTCCCTGGACCCGCGGACACACACACAGTGACTGGCCGGCCTCCATCTTAGTTCTCCCTCCAGGGTTTGCAGCAGCGACATTTTGCATCCACCTAGAGACTTGGGACCTCCTAACACAGATGAGCCTGAATAAAATCATAACTATGTGAGTGGTTTTGTTCTCATGCCCTAGAATTATTTTATTTCTGCACATTTCTTCTTCTCTCTTTCCACAGGGATCCCGACAATAATGTCGGAATCCGCCCAGATGCCTGACCGGCAGCTGGCTCCACCTCTCGGCACACCACTGAGAAACTGTGCCAGCTGTTCCGCCCCTGTAATGTCAGTGTGTTTTAAGCAGGGTAAGAAAAAGTGCAAAATGCGCACTACTCTTTCTGGGGTACAAGCAACCAGGGGCGTCCCTAGGCAGGTGCGGGGGGGTGCGTGCCGCACCAGGTGACACCTATCACACTGGGTGACACCTATCGCACCGGGTGACACCAGACCCTCTCCGCGAAAAGGTAAGTTTTAAAGCAAGCCAACAATCCCCGCAGGATGGAGCGGATCTGCAGATTGAGCATAATGGATCGGAGTCCAATCCATTATGCTCCCCAATCCGCAGATCCGATCCATCCTGCAGGGATCGTCGGCTCGCTTTAAAACTTGCCTTTTCGTGGAGCGGGTTTGGTGTCACCCCGTATAGGTTGCAAGCGAACAATCCCCGCAGGATGGATCGGATCTGCGGATTGGGGAGGATAATGGATCGGAGTCTGATCCATTATGCGCAATCCGCAGATCCGATCCATCCTGCAGGGATCATCGGAGGGGGGTGTCACTAAGTGTTACTGCACTGGGTGACACCAACCCTAGGGATGCCCCTGCAAACAACATATAATATACACATATGTGGTATCACTGTGATTGTCAGGAGAAAGAGAATTTACTATGGGTTATTTTTTATTGGTGGGTTTTAGTAATGGCAAAAAATATAAAGTTTAACTTAAAAAAAAAATTGTTTTAACTATTTTGGGTCAGTTTTCCTTTGTAATAAAGAGAAAAATCCATAGATCTCCATTGGCTCCAAATGATTTGTTGGGACCTTTGTCATTAAGGGGTTAAGGCCCGTTTTGAAATGGGTGAATGCTCTATTATGTTGTAGGCTAGATGGGTGAATCTTTGATTTTTTTTTTTTTTTATGTCACAGGTGAACCTTGTTTACAATTAATAGCTCTCTATTACCCCCGCACATCTATGCGGCTGTGTGGGCTGTGTTTTTCACGGGCACGAGAGCCCATTCATTTGAATGGACTCCCGTGCCTGTGCCACGCAGGGAAAGAAGTCCCTGCACTTCTTTGGAAAACACAGCCTGCTCCGGAACCTCGGTTCCCAATACGGTTGCGTTTTCCAGTGCGGGCGGTGTGCCATTAGAAGTAATGGCATCCGCCCACGAGTTCGCATTTCTCTGTGCGGGTGGTGGGGCTGCATGGATTTTCATGCAGATCCACAGCGGCACCACCCGCACATATGTGAACCTAGGATTACCCCAGGTTCACACCTAAGCGTTTTCCCCATTTTTTGCAGAAACACAATACAGTCCATGTAACGTGATTTCCGATGGGACAGGTTCACATCTCCGCATTTTCACCCGGTGCATTTTTTGGAAAGGGTCAGGGACTTTTTTGAATGCAAAAAGTTACGTTTTTGGTTCTATGGACTTCAATGGAAATGCTGCAGAAAAGCATGAGTGCTGTTTTGATGTATTTCTGCCATGTTTTTGATGCGTTTTAAATTTGCTTAGCAGCAAGAACAAAAAAAAACAGATAACACGTCTAAAACATATGTGCAAAAACGCACAACGCACCGTAAAAAACGGATCAAATGCAAACTGCATAGGTGTGAACCTAGCCTTATGTTGCATGCTGATAAGTGAATCCTCTCTGAATGACAGCTGAAAGCTGTAAAATACAGACGCAGGGATTTCCAGCGCACATTAGCTGGGCAAACCTTGCGGTGCCTCCTTTATAAATAGACTATTGATTTTTTTCCTCGATATCTTCCTATTAAACATAAATGAGCTTCCTACATTTTTTTTTTTTTGGTCAGATAAAATATCTTGCCTTGAATGCACACATTTGTTCAGACTGTTATCTCCTGTCTATGGCTGATTCTAAAATCCAAACAGTACAGCGCTTAAAACACGTAAAACACAAATAAATGATCACATGATAGTCCACAATAAACCAGTGAAGTAAATGAAAATGATCGCGTAATAGTCCACAGTATCATCTGTGAATGACTTCCACTAGTGAGTTCTTCGGGAGCAATTGTGTGTGTAGAGACGCACATAACCCTCGAGGGTACGCGCACATGTGCATTAGTCCTCATGCTCACTGGACGTTTGTATTTATTTATTTCAGGTACTTATATAGCGCCGTCAATTTACGCAGCACTTTACATATATATTGTACATTCGCATCAGTCCCTAACCCTCAAGGGGTGTACAATCTAAGGTCTCTAACTCACATTCATGCATACACATACTAGGGACAATTTAGACAGGAGCCAATTCACCTACCAGCATGTCTTTGGAGCGTGGCAGGAAACCCGAGTACCTGGAGGAAACCCACGCAGGCACAGGGAGAACATGCAAACTCCAGGGAGGTGGTGTCACGGTTGAGATTCGAACCAATGACCTGAGTACTGCCAGGCGGAAGTGCTAACCATTTAACCACTGTGCTGCCCTACACAGCGGCTGTTTTTGGCGTTTTGTTCTACAGCCAGTAAACTCCCCAGCCAGGGGCGGACTGACAACTCATGGGGCCCCTGGGCAATAGGGTATCATGGGGCCCCTCTGTCCTTGCCCAAACTCAAAAAAGCCTATGAAAAAGGTACCAGGGGCATCTCATGGGGCCCTTTACTGACCCCGGGCCCTCGGGCAGTGCCTGAGTTTCCAAATGGTCAGTCCACCCCTGTCCCCAGCATATTATCCTATGTGTTCATGCACACATAGGCTTTACTCTCAGCGTTTTCTGGCTGGAAAAAACCCCAGAACTAGTGGGTTTCTAGAGGAGTTTTTTAGCTGTAAAAACACTGTAATGAGGAAAAAAAGTGGTAAAATGCTGCAAACCAGCATTTTTGGTCATTTTTTTTTAGCAAAAAGTTCATTTTTTGTGTAAAAAACACAAAAAATCCAGAAAAACACGGCTAAACGCTAATGCAAAAATGCTAAAAATTTGCGTTTTTAATGCAACTTTACATATTAATATTGCTACCAGGATTAATAAAATGCCCAGTGTGCATGGAGCCTAAGCATCATGGCTTCCGGTTCCTTCAAACGCATTTCGTCATAAAAGACATCATCGGGGCATTGGTGCCCCTGAGGACGTCATTTATGATGAAACGCGTTGGATAGAGCCAGAAGCTGTGATGTCAGTGGGCATACCCTCAAAGATTCTGGGAGTTGTAGCTGACATGTCTTTCCATGCTAAGCTAAATATATACCGGAGTTACACCACGCGAAGTGGTCTTGCTTTGTCTTCTACCCTTATATGCCTGGCCTTGACTGTATAGAGGGTCAAAGCGGACCTGTGATCTACTTCATTCCATGGTGCTTCATACTGATGAATACAACAAGCATTTGCTGACTTTGGAGGGTCACAATCTCTCTGGTAGGTCTCAGAGTGGTGGGTGGAACACGAATTGCACTTGTGGATTTAAAGAGGAAGATCACAAACAATTGCTTCCTAGGAAATCACTGGTGGAAGGTGTTCATGGATAATACAGTGAACTAATATGTGATAATTTTCATTTACTTCACTGGTTTACTCTGGATTATCATATTATCATCTATTTAACTTGTCTTAGGAGATGCACTTTTTGGCTTTTGATGTTTATTGGTATAGTCCAGCCTTTCTCAATCAGGGTGCCCAGGCACCCTGGGGTGCCTTGAGGTTTCTTCGGGGTGCCTTGGCAAAATGTCTAAAAATTGCCCAAAACTCGTATACAAGCCAGCGGGTGGAACAAGCCGGCCTTTTAGTTGCACAAACTCACAGGTTTTCACTGTGCGCCATTACGACCTTCTAGCCACCGGGGTCCTCACACCCAATGACATCATCAGTTGATAAGGAGGATGTCAGCTGCCTGCACAGCATCCTAGTTTGACCCTCCGCTGCCCCTCTCCATCAGTGCTGGGCTCACATTAGATCAGTGATGGAGAAAAACTGAGGGAGAGGAGAAACGCTGGAATACTAGTCAGTACCAGTGTGCAGAAGTGTATTTGCTTTGGAAGAATAAATCCCCTCTAATGTTGGGTGTCCTACATGTGTGGATGTTGCTGCATTATATAAAACTATTAGAATAGTTTTTCACATTTTAGAATGGGGTGCCTGAAGACTGTCCATAATTTGAAAGGGTGCCTCGGGACTGTTCATAATTTGAAAGGGTGCCTCAGGACTGTCCATAATTTGAAAGGGTTCCTCAGGACTGTCCATAATTTGAAAGGGTTCCTCAGGACTGTCCATAATTTGAAAAGGCGCCTCAAGACTGTCCATAATTTGAAAGGGTTCCTCAGGACTGTCCATAATTTGAAAGGGTGCCTCGGGACAGTCCATAATTTGAAAGGTTCCTCGGGACTGTCCATAATTTGAAAGGGTGCCTCGAGACTGTCCATAATTTGAAAGGGTTCCTTTGGACTGTCCATAATTTGAAAGGGCGCCTCAAGACTGTCCATAATTTGAAAGGGTGCCTCAAGACTGTCCATAATTTGAAAGGGCGCCTCAAGACTGTCCATAATTTGAAAGGGTGCCTCAAGACTTTCCATAATTTGAAAGGGTGCCTCAAGACTGTCCATAATTTGAAAGGGCGCCTCAAGACTGTCCATAATTTGAAAGGGTGCCTCAAGACTGTCCATAATTTGAAAGGGTTCCTCTGGACTGTCCATAATTTGAAAGGGTGCCTCAAGACTGTCCATAATTTGAAAGGGTTCCTCTGGACTGTCCATAATTTGAAAGGGTGCCTCAAGACTGTCCATAATTTGAAAGGGCGCCTCAAGACTGTCCATAATTTGAAAGGGTGCCTCAAGACTGTCCATAATTTGAAAGGGTGCCTCAAGACTGTCCATAATTTGAAAGGGCGCCTTGACTGAAAAAAGGTTGAGAAACACTGGTCTAGTGTATCCTATACACGGTGTGTTGGCAGCTCAGTTATATTTCATTCTGTCACTTTCAGCGCAGCCATTCTATTTTATGGCTGATTCTAGACTGTGGTTTTTCCGTAAAATACTGCGTCTGCACCACTGAGAATTGTCCCCCCCCTATCCCTCTCTCCACTTACCAGCGGAGCCTTGTAGTATCTGTGCAGGATGTTGATGAAGTCAGTGATGGTCAGCATTCCTGGGGAGAACATAGGATACACGGTCACCAGTCTATGGGAGCCATGGTTATTATGAGACAGGTCCTCTTTATAAGAACGGTCAGCGCAGAGCTAGACTACAAAAATCTGAAAACAGTCAGCGATTAGATCAGAATTATCAACTGACACTGATCATTAACCACTTCAAGACCGGACACTTTCACCCCCTTCCTGTGCAGGCCAAATTTCAGCTTTCAGCGCTATCATACTTTGAATGACAATTGCGCAGTCATGCAACATTGTACCCGTATGAATGTTTTAGCATTTTTTGAGACAGATAAAGCTTTATTTTGGTGGTATTTATTCACCACTGGGATTTTTATTTTTTTTTGCTATATAAAAGAAAAAGTATAAAAATTTTGAAAAAAAGTGGGTTTTTTCCAAAAATTTTGCAAATAAATAATATTTCATCATTAATCTTGGCCAAAATGTATTCAGTTATCATTTTAGTAAAAAAAAAAAAAAATAACCCAAATTAGTTTATAACCAAAAATTATAATTTATTTAAAAAAAATGATTCACATTTTTATATTATTTTTTTATATTATTATTTATGTTGTTTTTTTTTTTTACATACTGTCACCCTAGCAGTACAGTGCCACCATAGTGACACTGTACTACTTGTGGGGGGTGATGATTTTTTTTTTTACACCCGTAAGGGCTGTAAAAGCAATCATTTCTCCTTCTCTCTGGCTGCATTCTTGCAGCCATTGAGAAATACTGTGTGAGCTGTGATTGGTCACAGCTTTTCACATGGTACAAGGCTGTTGTGAATATCCTTGTACCATGTGACCTCTGTGATCATTCACAGATTTCACACGTAGTAAGCAATGATGTCAGTTACTACTCTGCATGTGATCACTGATTGGCCAATCAGTGATCACATGATCGGGACCTTGCACAGAGGTCCCGTACGACGAATGGTGTTCCACTGTGTCCGGAGGACACAGCGGGCACCGGATCGCGGTGCTGCGCGGTCCCAGGGTCGCACTCAAGCAGGGGGCGGAGGCCGTTTATAAACAGCCTACCCTGCACTGCCACCGCTCGGCCGTTTATATACAACGGCCGGACAGGAGGTGGTTAAAACATTTTTCTGCATGAGCCAAGCTATGACATCATCGCCTCCTAGCGGAGAACAATTTACTAAACAGAGCGACGCTGCACGTGGTGTATCCGAGTACAGTGATATCCCTGATCTTACATGGCTCTAAAAGGCCTCGTTCACATGGGAGGCCGAGGGACAGTAGAAATAGGAGGTTAAGCTGCAGTTTTACCACCCCCAACCGACAAGTTTAAGTGTCATTAAACCCACATCATAAAAAACTATCAATAAATAGTGTATTACATGCTGTTCATACTCACTCAGTCACTATGGGATTCAATTTCTGTAATCTGCAAAAACCTGCTTGATCCTGCTGTTCTCTATCTCTCCCTCCTGTTTCATGTCCCCAATGCAGTTGGGGATTTTACAGAGCAGTGTTGGCAGCTACTGCACATGCTCAGTTTTCAGTGAGTTTCTATGCTGAACATTTCCTCCCTATCACATCTGAGCAGCCCATGTGACTGTACAGCAGGGGTGTCAAACTAGCGGCCCTCCAGCTGTTGCAAAACTACCATCATGCCTCTGCCTTTGGGAGTCATGCTTGTAACTGTCAGTCTTGCAATGCCTCATGGGACTTGTAGTTTGGCAACAGCTGGAGGGCTGCCAGTTTGCCACCCGTGCTGTAGAGTCACACATGTGGGTGTATACACAGTCATAAATGACAGCCCACTCCCTCCCTCCCTCCTCCATACCCACTAACCTGCTAAACACAGTAGGGGTGGGATATTACATCTTGAGTGACTGAGGCTTCACCTCAATGTTATTCTAAGGCTGGAGGGGCGTGACACAGCCTGTGATTGGTAAAAATCCACCCAAGCCATGTTATTTAAAAAATATGTTTTTTCAATTTAATACAGTTTATTGATATTCATTATTTATTTTTACACTGTATCCCATAGGCTGTTTTTTTTTTTGTTAAATGTTGAACATGTGACCAGCAGCAGAGGGCTAGAAGCTCCTCCTGCCACTGTTTCCCTACAGACAGTCTGGGAAAGAGCTGGGTAATGTGACAGCTGTACATCAATTAGGGAAAAAAAAAGGTACTTACATTTTTTTGTTTTAATTAAAATAATTACAGTGCCATCATCCATATACAGAAATAGAAGGTATCATGTAAATTAACCTCTTCCCGTCCAGCCCATGCTAATAAGTGGTCGGACGGGAGCATTGCCGATGCAAGGGGATGTTTCTAAATGTCCCACCCCCGCTCCCTGGGAGCGCGCAGCACTGCAATCTGTGCCTGCCGTGTCCAGATCGCTGTACGGGGGCCGCTGTGTGAGGTCCAGGGGCGGACTGATCATTCAAACACTCGGGCACTGCCCGAGGGCCCGGGGTCAGTAGGGGGCCCCATGAAATGCCCCTGGTACCCTTTTTATAGGCTTTTTTTGAGTGTAGGCAAGGACACAGGGGCCCCATGATCCCTTATTGCCCGGGGGCCCCATGACTTGTCAGTCCGCCCCTGGTGAGGTCCCGATCATGTGATCAGTGATTGGCCAATCAGTGATCACATGAACAGTAGTAAACAAGATGTCACTTCCTGACATCGTTGTTTACTACTTGTGAATTCTGTGAATGATCTCAGAGATCACATGGTACAGGGCCATTCACAGCAGCCTTGTACCATGTGATAAGCTGTGACCAATTACAGCTCTCACAGTATTTCTCAATGGCTGCAGAAATGAAGCCAGAGAGAAGGAGAAATGATTGCTTTTACAGCCTTTAAAAAAAATTCTTGATCACCCCCCACAAGCAGTACAGTGTCACTATGGTGACGGTATTTAAAAATAAACACATAAATAGAATTATTTAAAAAAAATTAAAAATGTATACATTTTGGTCTTTTTTCATTTATTTAGCAAAAAAAAAAAAAAATCCTAGTGGTGAATAAATACCACCAAAGGAAAGTTCTGTCTAAAAAAAAATGCAAAAAAATAAATTTGGGTACAGTGCTGCATGACAGCGCAATTGTCAATCGCAGTGTGAAAAAAAAAAAATCTTGATCACCCCCCACTATGGTAACACTGTACTGCTAGGATGACGGTATGTAAAAAAAAATAAAAATAAAAAATAAACATAAATAAAATTATAAAAAAATAAAAAATGTATACATTTTTGGTCAAGATTGATGAAGAAAGATTATTTATTTGCAAAATTTTAGAAAAACATTCTATTCTCCGTGGTTTCTAATCAGGAAGTCTCAGTCGCAGAAGGGCGCTGACCCCCCGTCAGTTGTACAGCATGTTCTGCCCTTGTATGTGGCACCGCTCCGAGTGCTGGACCCGGTGACTGCTTTGTACATCAGCCATGTGAATTCATCACCCCACAGTCCGGTCTCGTCTTTCTGCAGATAATTTAGTGCATACACAGAATCCTCTGGGAAAACCAACATTAACTCAGCCATCTGCACTAAAAATTCTGTTTTGTTGTTTTTGTTTTTTTTGCATTAAACGGATCTTTCCACCCCAAACCTATCACCCTAACACCCCAGTGTCTGGCAGATGCTGGAGAGTTGTAGTGACAAGAATTGATATCTTTATATATGACCCATGCAAATCCACTATTTAGCGTCCATGTCATTTTTTTTTTTTTATTGTTTCTTACTGTGTTTTTTTTTCTGCCTCCTCGTACTCCTGTGAGCTCTCCTTTTCCCCCTCACTTCTGTTTGGAGTGAGCAGTGCACATTAGTTGTGGTCATGTGCACATTGCAAATCCCATAGTCCATAGGCTGAGGTTTAGGGTCAGAGGGGAACCTAGTTCAAACTGCAATGCTCTCCATGGGTAAGCAGTGGTTCCACTGCAGAGGTCCAACATACCCCCTGATGAGTTCGAACTGTAGCTCTGCAATCAGCACAGCTCATGCTCCCTGCTGATCAGATAGCTCAATCTCTGACTCAGTAAGGGGTGTGTCGAACCTCTGCAGAGAGGCCACTGATTTCACACAAGGGTCTTTATTGAGCTCTGGCTCAGTACGGGGTGTGAAACCTCTGCAGAGAGGCCACTGCTTCCAGACAAGGGTCTTTATTGAGCTCTGGCTAAGTAAGGGATGTGTCGAACCTCTGCAGAGAGGCCACGGCTTCCACACAAGGGTCTTTATTGAGCTTTGGCCCAGTAAGGGGTGTGGAACCTCTGCAGAGAGAACACCGCTTCCACACAAGGGTCATTATTGAGCTTTAGCCCAGTAAGGGGTGTGGAACCTCTGCAGAGAGGCCACTGTTTCCAAATAAGTGTTCTTATTGAGCTCTGGCTCAGTAAGGGGTGTGTCGAACCTCTGCAGAGAGGCCACCGCTTCCACACAAGGGTCTTTATTTAGCTCTGGCTCAGGAAGGGATGTGGAACCTCTGCAGAGAGGCCACCGCTTCCACACGAGGGTCTTTATTGAGCTCTGGCTCAGGAAGGGATGTGGAACCTCTGCAGAGAGGCCACGGCTTCCACACAAGGGTCTTTATTGAGCTTTGGCTCAGTAAGGGGTGTGGAACCTCTGCAGAGAGGCCACCGCTTCCACACGAGGGTCTTTATTGAGCTCTGGCTCAGTAAGGGGTGTGGAACCTCTGCAGAGAGGCCACCGCTTCCACACAAGGGTCTTTATTGAGCTCTGGCTCAGTAAGGGGTGTGGAACCTCTGCAGAGAGGCCACGGCTTCCACACAAGGGTTTTTATTGAGCTTTGGCCCAGTAAGGGGTGTGGAACTTCTGCAGAGAGAACACCGCTTCCACACAAGGGTCTTTATTGAGCTCTGGCTCAGTAAGGGGTGTGGAACCTCTGCAGAGAGGCCACTGCTTCCACACAAGGGTCTTTATTGAGCTCTGGCTCAGTAAGGGGTGTGGAACCTCTGCAGAGAGGCCACGGCTTCCACACAAGGGTTTTTATTGAGCTTTGGCCCAGTAAGGGGTGTGGAACTTCTGCAGAGAGAACACCGCTTCCACACAAGGGTCTTTATTGAGCTTTGGCCCAGTATGGGGTGTGGAACCTCTGCAGAGAGGCCACTGTTTCCAAATAAGTGTTCTTATTGAGCTCTGGCTCAGTAAGGAGTGTGTCCAACCTCTGCAGAGAGGCCACCGCTTCCACACAAGGGTCTTTATTTAGCTCTGGCTCAGGAAGGGATGTGGAACCTCTGCTGAGAGGTCACCGCTTCCACACAAGGGTCTTTATTGAGCTTTGGCTAAGTAAGGGATGTGTCCAACCTCTGCAGAGAGGCCACGGCTTCCACACAACTGTCTTTATTAAGCTCTGGCTCAGTAAGGAGTGTGGAACCTCTGCAGAATGTCCTGATTGAGCAAGTGTTCTGATTGAGCTCTGGCTCAGTAAGGGGCATGTCAAATCTCTGTAAAGAGGCTACTGCTTCCACACATGGGTCCTTACTGAGATCTGTCTCAGTTGGCTCAGTAACGGGTGTGCCGAACCTCTGCAGAGAGGCCACTGCTTCCACACAAGGGTCTTTATTGAGCTCTGGCTCAGTAAGCGGTGTCGAACCTCTGCAGAGAGGCCTCTGTTTCCACTCAAGCATCCTTATTGAGCTGTGGCTTAGTAAGGGATGTGTTAAGCCTATGCAGAAAAGCCACTGCGTCCACATAAGGGTCCTTATTGGGCTCTGGCTCGGTAAGGGGTGCGTGGAACCATTGCAGAGAGGCCGCTGCCTTCACACAAAGGTCCTTCTCAACAGCACTGCTGGTGGTAGGAGTAACCCATGAGCAGGACCCAAAAACCACAAAAGGCAGGTGTCCCCAAAGAGATGATCGATAAGGACCTGTTCACACTATGGTGCTCCAGCAAAGCACTAGTTACCATGCATTCTAATGCAACGTGTAGCAGCAACGCATGATAGATGCAGTGGTATGGCAGTGTGCTGAAAAGACAAGTGCATCCTTCGAAAGGTGCAATGAGGTACCATTTAGAATGGATGGTAGACATCAAATGAACACAGTCAGTATGCTTTGCTGCACACTGCGAACGGGCCCTTAAAGTATAATAAAGGCAAAACATTTTTTAGTCTGGATCTCTTCGTAGTGGAGATGGATTAGAAGACCTGTCAGGTCTTTATTGCTGTCCCCATTACGAGCATCACCCTCTATTTGTCCTGTTTACCTCCAAGAGTGATAGGTAAAGAAAATCCCAAATTTTGGGTTGTTACCAGAGGGGAAATCTTCCAATAGGGACACTAGTTCAGGGACTCCCTCACATTGGAGGGATTTCTTCTCACGTCCTGATTTGGCTATGGGACAGGAAGTGAAGGGAAATCTCCACAATGTGACAGATATTTATTAATTTCAGGTACAGGCGTATCTCGGTTTACGAAACGCCTCGGTTAATGTCATTTTCGGTTTACAAATGAAAACCCATTGAAAATAATGCCTCGGTTTACAAATTTTTTTTCGCAGTACAAACTAAGACTCCCCAGGGTGCATTGCGCCTGGGAGGTTTATAGCGCCGGCCCCATGCCTTTAAAGTGCACTTTATAAAGAGTTTTGAACAGATAAAACTTTTTTTCACTTTTTTCTGACCTTCAGAACAGATTAATTGGTTCTCAATGCATTTATGAATTAATTTTTAATCATGTCCCTGTACAGTATTTATGCCTTTAAAGTGCACTTTATAAAGCATTTTGAACAGATAAAAAGACTTTTTTTGACCTCCGGACAGATTAATTGGTTTTCAATGCATTCCTATGGGAAACAGCGTTTGGGTTTACAAATTTTTTTCGCAATACAAAGTAAGTTTCCCCAGAATGCATTGGGAGGTTTATAGCACCGACCCCGTGCCTTTAAAGTGCACTTTATAAGAGTTTTGAACAGACTTTTTTTTTAACTTTTTTCTGACCTCCAGAACGGATTAATTTGTTTTCAATGCATTTAAGAATTCATTTTTTATCATGTCCCTGTACAGTGTTTATGCCTTTAAAGTGCACTTTATAAAGCATTTTGAACAGATAAAAGACTTTTTTTGACCTCCGAAATGGATTGTTTTTCAATGCATTTCAATGGGAAACCGCGTTTCGGTTTACAAATATTTTTTGCAATATGAAGTAAGTCTCCCCAGGATGCATTGCGCTTGGGAGGTTTATAGTGCCGACTCCGTGCCTTTAACGTGCACTTTAAAAAGAGTTTTGAACAGATAAGCCTTTTTTTTAACTTTATTTTTATCTCCGTAACGGATTATTTGGTTTTCAATGCACTTACGATTTTTTTTTTAATCATGTCCCTTTAAAGTGCACTTTATAAAGACAGATAAAAGACTTTTTTTTTTAACCTCCGGAACGGATAAATTGGTTTTCAATGCATTCCTATGGGAAACCGCGTTTCGGTTTATAAATTTTTCCCAATACGAAACATCCTGGAGAACGCATTCAATTTATAAACCGAAGTATTCCTGTACTTATGTAAAGTGCTGCGTAAATTGACAGCGCTATATATATATTGTACATTTATATCAGTCCCTAATCCTCAGTGACTAGAAAGTAGTTCCTGCACTTTGATCCAACTTCCATGTGACTTGAGGGTCATAGATTTCAAAGTAAACCCTCGAAAGTCACATGAAAGTTGCACCTGTATGATATACATGCAACTTATTTATTTCAGGTACTTATATAGCGCCGTCAATTTACACCGCGCTTTACATATATATTGTACATTCACATCAGTCCCTGACCCTCAAGGGGCGTACAATCTAAGGTCCCTAACTCACATTCATACATACTCATGCTAGGGGTGATTTAGACAGGAGCCAATGAACCTACCAGCATGTCTTTGGAGCTGGGGGGAGGAAACCGGAGTACCCGGAGGAAACCCACGCAGGCACAGGAAGAACATGCAAACTCCAGGCAGGTGGGATTCAAACCGACGACCTTAGTACTGCCAGGTGGAAGCGCTAACCATTTAGCCACTGTGCTGCCCAGAGATGGCAAAATGCAAAAACGTTTTGCCTTTAGTCCGACTTTAATAAAATCATGGCTGAAAACTTAGAAAACTCATACAATTTCATATATATATATATATATATATATATATATATATATATATATATATATATATACACATCGGGGCGGACTGACAACTCATGGGGCCCCCGGGCAATAGGGGATCATGGGGCCCCTGTGTCCTTGCCCAAACTCAAAAAAGCCTATGAAAAAGGTACCAGGGTCATCTCATGGGGCCCCCTACTGACCCCGGGCCCTCAGGCAGTGCCCGAGTTTCCAAATGGTCGGTCCGCCCCTGATATATATATATTTCAATATAGAAACGGAGTTGTAAGAAAAGAATATTGTAACATCTCAGCCTGTATCCAGGAAAAGTGCAATTGTTCCATCAGCATTATATGGGGGGCCCCGCGGACACTTACCCACAAAGCAGTGCTGCTTGCTATCCCAGAGAGGGGCCGCTCGCACCCCATTGGCCACCAAGGCTAGAAAGGCTTTCTTTATCTGTGTGCAGAGAGAGAAGGCTTGGATGAATACCAAGAAGCAGAATGTACTGGGACAGGACACCCAGGATGGAGACAAATCAATGCTAGAGGTGAGGACAGAAAGTTCAGCTGGCTGACGGACACACAATCCCAGAATATACGGCTGGGAGAACTTTCCCTTAGTTGGGATGATTTACTAAAACAAATAAACCAGACTAGGGATAATGGGACAGGCATAGCAGGCCAGTCTGCACAAATAGGGGGGATTTATAAAACATTTGCAGAGCTATTTTGCCTGCGAAAGTGCATGTATGTTCGATGTGCATGAATACCAGCAACATCGAATCACACAAGGCCATTGTCTCTCCGGGTCCTTTTTTTTAACCACTTCCTGCCTTGGCAATTTTCAAAAATTTTCACACACGTTAAAATCTGCATTACTTAGAACCCCCAAATGATATATTTTCTAGAGGCCCTGGAGAATGGAAATGATGGTAGTGTTCACATCGCATGATATTTGTCCAGCTGTTTATCAAGCGCATATTAAAAAAAAATTTAAAAAATGAATTTTAGTGCACACAAACACGTTACAATACACATTTTAGTAAAATATACCAGATGGGGTTGCATCAAACAAACAGATACCAAACATGTCAAGCCTCAAAACGTGCTGTGAATATGGCAAAAAATGTTGGCATTCAAAATTGTCCATAGGCAAGGTTTAATAGCCTTTCCAGGTTATCAATTTAGAGTCAACAGTGAATTACGGCCCAAGAATTAATTGCTCTCACTCCGATGTTGGTGGCGATACCTCACGTGTGTCAAAATTGCTGTTTACATACACGTACACGCCCTATGCCTGCATTTGCATGTATGTGTGGGGTGAAGGGGAGATGTTTACATTTTATTAGATTTCTTTGTTTAATATTTCATTTTTAACGCTTTTTTTTATTTAATTGTATTGCTTTCACAAGATGGCTAACCAGCTTCTATGTGATAGCATGGACAGGTGACAGGTCCTCTTTAAGGAGACATCAGGTGTCTATGAGGCGTCCAATGTCTCAACTGCAGGTAATCAAGCCCTATTCAAGTTTGATTAGCTGCCAGGGAATTAACTTAAACCCAGAATCTTTCCCCCAGTCTGGACACTCCTCTCTCCCATTCCAGACACTTCTCTACCCCAGTCTGGACACCCCCCTATCTCAGTCCAAATACTCCTCTACCCCGGCCCAGACACTCCTCTCTCCCCCGGCCCAGACACTCTTCTCTCTCCCAGCCCAGACAGTTCACTCCCCCGGCCATGACACTCCACCCCCCCACCCCCCCGGCCACTCCACCGACCATGACACTCCACTCCTTGGCCACAACACTCCACTCCTCTACCCTGGCCCAGACACTCTTCTACTACGGCCACAACACTCCACTTCCCCGGCCACGACACTCCACTTCCCCGGCCACGACACTCCACTCCACCCCCCTGGCCCCCCGACACTCCACTCCCCCAGACACGACACTCCACTTCCCCCCAGACACGACACTCCACTCCCCCCCCCGGACATGACACTCCACTCCTCTACCCTGGCCAAGACACTCCACTCCCCCGGCCACTCCACTCCTCTACCCCGGCCACTCCACTCACCAAAACACTCCACTCCACCGGCCACGACACTCCACTCCACTCACCCGGCCACAACACTCCACCCCCCCCCGGCCACGACACTCCACTACCCCGGCCACGACACTCCACTCCCCCGGCCACGACACTCCACTCCCCCGGCCACGACACTCCTCTACCCTGGCCACGACACTCCTCTACCCTGGCCACTCTCCCCCTCGGCCCACAGACACTCCTCCCCCCCCGGCCCAGACACTCCTCTCCCCCCCCACCGGCGCAGACACTCCTCTCCCCCCAGCCCAGACACTCCCCTCCCCCCGGTCCAGACACTCCCCTCCCCCAGTCCAGACACTCCCCTCCCCCAGTCCATCCATTCTCACTCCTCCTCTACCCCCAGTCTGTACATCTTCTTCCCAACTCCTCTCCCTTGTCGACATCCAGCAACACAGTCTGAATGAATAGCTCAGTCACACAAGCAGCTTTATATGTGTGTGACAATTTTGCTTTTGTTCCTTGATTCCCTTAAAGAACCAACACTGAAATTGTAAATCACTCGCGATGGAATGGTGATTTGTGGCAACATACTGGGCACAAGGGTTGCAATGATAAATGTATGTTGGTGCCGCACTGTGGAATTGTGGGTGGAGCCATTATAATTTCTTTGGTTTTAAAGATCAGTGAACGAATTATATTTTTACTATTTATGACAATGCCGGGTTCCAGCTATCTTTGCTGTCTACAATAAACCTCCATATGAAGTTAGCTTAGAAGGTTGCAGAGGTCCAACACTTGTGATGATAGCTGTACTGACCTGTAGCGAGGTGTCAAACACAACCAGCTTGCAGCTTGTAGGGATAGCGTCATAACATGGGCTCTTCATCATGAATTCCATGTAGACGCCGGCATCCTCCCCCAAATCTGCAGGACAGACCACCAATTATTAGAAGAATATGAATCAATACATGAATACCAACCACGTGCTTCTGATGTTTTTTGGGTCTTTCGGGACCATCCTGTCCTTCTGAGCCTGAGAAATTTGGCAAACTCCTTACCCAACAGTCAGTGGGGGGCCACCCCGTAATCACAGAATACACAGGAGCATGCCTTGGTTAATTGTTGAGCACCCTCTTACTCCCAACCCCAGTACTACAACCATCTACCCACCTCTACCCTGAATGCCACCCCATTTTTGCTACCTCCTTTGGTTGCTAGGATGCTGGCACAACAACCAATGACATTGTGGCCCAGCTGCCAGTGTCCCAGCAACCAATCTCTGGGCAGCATCAATAACCGTGCCCACGGATCCAACCTCATGAACCCAAACACACCCCTGGATGCCACCTCATTTCTGCTGTCCCCTTTTGGTTGCCAGGGTGCTGGCACAACAAGTAACATCACATTGGTTGGGCCACCAGTATCCTAGAAACCAATGCCACTGCATGGTACAATTTGATACTAGGATGCAGGCAGCTGGTCCTTACAGCATTACTGTTTGTTACAGTGATGGCAGGCAACTGCACCAAAACAACCAATGGCGCTGTGTGGTCCAGCAAACCAGCGTCTTAACAACCAGCTTAGTAACGCAACATTACAGAGCTGCAGGGAGGACTGTGTGGTTTGGGCACTCCACCCTCAGTGCCGCTGCCTGTGGTGGTCGCCTCGCTTTGCCTCATAGGCAGGCACACTCCTGCTGCTTTTTACTGGAATAAACAAAGCCAAGCACATGGGTGAGAAGTCAGATAAAAAAGCATGAGCAAATGAATGCTGAAACTGCTGGGCTGGACAAAGAGCTTCACAACGTCAGTGACCCCACATGGAGTACTTTTTGGGAATGCAAGCCTTACTGCTCTCAACGGACCAGGGAAATCCAAAGAAGCGGTGGGCAAAGAAACAAACAGAGGGCACATGGGCCTAGAGCATTACCTTCTAAAAATGAGTTTTATTGAATAAAAAGTAGTATACTCACAGAACCCTTGGGCTCTGAGGAAGAGGTTCTGCCTCGAGACGCATCAGCCATTTGGAGGCCTACAGTCCCCAAAAATGGGGTGGTTTTAAGGGGTGGGGGTGGCGGTGTGTGGGGGTGCTTCACTGTAATCACACAAGGGGAAGACTTCCTCCTACAACAAAGACAAACATGTCAGGATGGGGAATGCAGTGCACACTACATGGGGTATTCTATGTGACAGGCGAAGACAAATCAGCTCAGCAAAAAACGTCTCTGCAAATGACTTCTGCATAAAGCTGAGACTGGCCAATCTTCATATATATATACATTCTGTCCTATTTAAAAAGCATATTCAGTCAAATTATGGGATTGTAGATCGTACGTTTTACCTCTCTTCTTTCAGAGGGATTTTTCAAATTGTATTTGGTGACAAAGTCACTTTATTAAAGTGGTAATTTATCCTCTAACCCTGGGGTCAGCAACCAGGTAATAATCTACCCATCAATTGCAGCCATGTCATGGGTAGATGACGACCCCCTGGCACCTGAACTCTGTGTAGCTTAATCCTCACCCCTGCACTCTGTGTAACTTACTCCTGACTCCTGGACTCTGTGTAACTTACTCCTGACTGACTCTGTGTAACTTACTCCTGACTCTGTGTAACTGACTCCTGGACTCAGAGAAACTTACTCCTGACTCCTGGACTCTGTGTAACTGACTCCTGGACTCTGTGTAACTTACTCCTGACCCTTTCACTCTGTGTTACTCCTAAACCCTGCACTCTGTGTAACCTTCTCCTGATCCTTGTACTCTGTGCTACTTACTCCTGACCCCTGCACTCTATGTTACTTACTACTGATCCCTGCACTCTATGTTACTTACTACTGATCCCTGCACTCTATGTTACAAGCTACTGACCTCTGCACTACTTAAGGTGTACTTGCATTCAGGCCAGTTTAAGTGAGCCATGCCTGAGTTCATTTCTCCCTCTCCCCACTCCCTCTCTGTTTTGCACTCGCACTGGATTGTTAGAGCACACTCCACTGCAAACCAAACCAGAAATCCCTGTTTCACTACACAGTTCTCTGTGGAGAAAGGGGAGCTCCTGCAAGGTTTGCACTCACACTATAACATACCGTACCGGATCAGTGAACCTTGCTTGGGACCACCTGTTCCCAGTGATCCCGCACATGGGGCTGGGGTCAGTTAAAAGTGCTAGTGTGAGTGCACCCTTACTCCTGACCCCTGCAATCTGCATTACTTACTCCTGACCCGCTGCAATCGGCATTACTTACTCCTGATCCGCTGCAATCGGCATTACTTACTCCTGATCCGCTGCAATCGGCATCACTTACTGCTGACCCGCTGCAATCGGCATCACTTACTGCTGACCCGCTGCAATCGGCATTACTTACTCCTGACCCGCTGCAATCGGCATTACTTACTCCTGACCCGCTGCAATCGGCATCACTTACTGCTGACCCGCTGCAATCGGCATTACTTACTCCTGAACCGCTGCAATCTGCATTACTTACTGCTGACCCGCTGCAATCTGCATTACTTACTCCTGACCTGCTGCAATCTGCATTACTTACTCCTGACCCGCTGCAATCTGCATTACTTACTGCTGACCCGCTGCAATCTGCATTACTTACTCCTGACCCGCTGCAATCGGCATTACTTACTCCTGACCCGCTGCAATCTGCATTACTTACTGCTGACCCGCTGCAATCTGCATTACTTACTCCTGACCCGCTGCAATCTGCATTACTTACTCCTGACCCGCTGCAATCTGCATTACTTACTCCTGACCCGCTGCAATCTGCATTACTTACTGCTGACCCGCTGCAATCTGCATTACTTACTCCTGACCCGCTGCAATCTGCATTACTTACTCCTGACCCGCTGTCATCGGCATCACTTACTCCTGACCCGCTGCAATCGGCATTACCTCCTCCTGACCCGCTGCAATCGGCATTACTTACTTCCAACCCCTGTACTCTGCATTACTTACTCCTGACCCCTACACTCTGTTACATACTATTGACCTCTGCACTACTTAACAGTTTAACTGAGCCATGCCCAAGTCCGATTCTCCCACTCCACCCCCCTCCACCTCTGGTTTGCGCCCACACTGGATTGTTAGGAAGTGTTCCCAGGCACACTCCACTGCAAACCAAACCAGAGATCCCTGCTTCCCTACTCACGTATCTAAGGAGAGAACTTTACTCCCGCATGGTTTGCATTCACACTGCAGCAGACCGTACCAGACCATAAGTGACCCATCTGTTCCAAGTGGTCCCGGGCATGGCTCGGAGCACTCACACTACACAAATGAATTGGCCAACAGGGCCAATTAAAAGTGCTAGTGTGAGTGCACCCTTACTCCTGACCCCTGCACTCTGTATTACTTACTCCTGACCCCTGCACTCTGTATTACGTGCAGTACTTCTGACCCCCGCACTCTGTATTACGTGCAGTACTTCTGACCCCTGCACTCTGTATTACTTGCAGTACTTCTGACCCCCACACTCTGTATTACTTACTCCTGACCCCTACCATGGATCACTTTTCAGACAGTATAACAGGAGCAGCTGACAGGCATTAGGGAGGGGATACTGCCACCTCCTGAATGCGTTTTTTTTTTTTTTTTTTTTTGACAGCTGAACAGATTTTGGGAACACCATGCTACAACCATGAGCTTAGCATTTAGCTCACGGTTATGGTGTGGTCCCCCCACTGACTGCAAGTGTAAATCATCCCCAAGCTCCGGTTCATATATATGTGGCTGTGCAAGCTGAAGGTGCGCGGCAACCTATTCATTTGAATTGGCTGCTTTGTCTGCGTTTTCTGTAAGGAAAATGTCCTTGCAACTTTTTCTAAAACGTGGCCACACAGGCATCGCATGGTGTTTTTGCACCATGTGGTTTCGATAGGCGGGTAACCGCACCGCGTTTTTTGGATGTGTCTCATACACATATTTTCTTTACTCTCTTAGAAGCCTTCCTCCTGGCAGCAGTGTTTTGGCCAAAAAAAGAAAAGCCTGATGTTTGTAGAAGCGTGTAACACGCAGGGGCGGACTGACAACTCATGGGGCCCCCGGGCAATAGGGGATCATGGGGCCCCTGTGTCCTTGCCCAAACTCAAAAAAGCCTATGAAAAAGGTACCAGGGGCATCTCATGGGGCCCCCTACTGATCCCGGGCCCTCGGGCAGTGCCAGGGTTTCCAAATGGTCAGTCCGCCCCTGGTAACACGTTTAGGCGCGTCAAGCATTTGGAAGTTAATTCACTTCATTGGCCGAAATAAATCATTTATTCTGACCAATGAAATGAATTAACGCTCAAGAGATAAACGCAACTTGCATCAATGCGCATTTACATGCATTAAAGTGGAGTTCCACCCAAAAGGGGAAGTTTTGCTTTAAAGACTGGTCCCCCGATCTCCATTAAGGATTGGCAGCTTTGGCGAGCGGGTACCCGAAATTGACAGGTACCCGCTCCCACTTCTGCTTCCGATCGCCTAGGCGATTGCAGCAGAAGTTGTCCTCCCCCCTCCCTCCCCATAGTCTTGTGGGACACGTGACAGGTCCCAGAAGACTACGGGGCCATTCAGGAATCGCAGCACTACTCATGCATGCGCAGTGGGCACCTGGCTGTGAAGCCACAAGCTGTCATAGCCGGGTGCCCACACTGAAGATGCCAGTGCCTGGAATACAGGATGGCCGGTAAAACGAGCTGCGGCGGGGGCACCGCGGGATCGTGGGACAGACGAGTAGTTGTTTTTTTAAAAGTCAATAGCTACAGTTTTTGCAGCTGCTGACTTTTATTTTTTGACAGTGTGAGTGGAACTCCGCTTTACCCCCGGTTCACATCTGTGCGGGTGGTGCCGCTGCTGATCCGTGCAGCCACACCACCCGCACAGATAATTGAGGACCCGTGGGTGGGTGCCATTAGTTCTAATGGTACGCCGCCCGCACTGGAAA